AAAACCGAAGCTTACCGGCGGCGATGCTCTCGGGTGCGGCGGCTCTCCGGTTAAGTTCGTGTTTTGGTGATTCGGCTCCGATCAACCTGTAGAGAAAATAATGGTGATCACGGTGGTATAAAAATTGCATTAAACGGAGGCCGGGAAGGGCCTCATCGGAGGCAAAAACCGAGAAGGGGCGCGGCGGCGCCGCTGGCTTTCGGCCCTGTTTTTTGGCCGTTTGGCTGGGATTTTGGCTCTGATTTGACCACTGGGGAAATCAGCATGGAAAAACGAGTTGGGGGTATGAAATTTACCTCGATCGGCGGTCGGAAATCCCTCCGGTGCGGCGGCGGGTGGCGGCGGCCGGCTTCTGGTTCGTATTCTCCGGCGAGGGCAGGCGGCTCGGGTTTGGGGTCTGGTGTGGGGGTCTTATTTATACCCTTTTGCCTTTTGATCTCAGCGTCCATTTTGATTTAATTTGGGCCATCCGTTTTTGATTAAATCTGGGCCGTCCGTGCGATTAAATCTGGGCCGTCCGTGCGCGCGATTGATCTGGACCATCCGATCGCGCGCACGCGGATCGTCAACGCGGCCCGTCCCCGGTCGACGTGGTTTTGCCACGTGGCAGGTCCTGGTTGGCCAGGCCTGCTGACTGGGTCTGCTGACGTGGCACGCGCGTTTTTTTTTTTCCCTTCAATTTCTTCAATTTCCCCGGGCGCTACACAACTTGAGTTCAAGCTTAAAACATTTTCATTGGGAAGTAAAAATAATTGTATTAATTAATGCAAGCGGTGAACTTAGCTTGTTATCCAATGCATTTCATGTTGATAACCTAAATGAATAGAAGTTATGGTATATGCATAAAAAGATACCAAAATGCACAGGTCCACAAAGTCAATAGAATCAAGAGAAAATGACAAAATGATCATTTTGCATAAACTTGAAAAATATAAATTTTCATAGAGAAAACCAACAAGATATCACATGTTTTAATAACTGAGTTCGAAATTTAGTTCGAAATTAATTTTAAAATTAAAAAATATATATAAATATAATTTTTAAATTTATACATTTTTATTTAATATAAAATTATGAAAAAAATAGGTGGATGATAAAATTAAAAATAATTTTAGAAAAAAAAGGTGAAAATTTGGGTTCGGATTGTATTTTTGAAAAAAAAAATAAAAAACTGGATGTCAAAATACAATATAAAAAAATTATACCACGTAGGACCGCCCAGTCAGCAACCCTGACGAACCGGAGCGTGCCGCGTAGAAACGCACGCTGACTTGGTGCCACGCGGGAAGCCACGCTGGCAATCCGTGTACCCGCAATCGGATAGCCCGGATGCATTCCCACGCGCGTGGACGATCCGAATCAGTTTTCTCCTCAGGTGTGATCGAACGATCGCGATTGAACGCGATGAATGATCCAGAATTAAGAAAGACGGGTATAAATATCTTGCATCACACCGAACCCAAACTCTACTCGCCAGCCTCCTGCTGGAGAAGAAGAACTAGACGCTGGAGAATGGAGCCAATCGCCACCGCCCTGCCGCGCTGGAGCCACCTCCGACGGCTAAAAAAGTTAAAAATTCTCTTATCCACTCGAAATTTGATTTCAAACACCCCCATAGCCAAATCAGAGCAAAAGAAACGACAAATGAGCCGAAAATTTCGGGCAAAATCCAATGCCGCTGTCGCGGGCAAAACCCAAAATCGCCTCCGATGAGCCCCTTTCTGTTTTCTGTTTCATGTGATTTTTCCACTACTATGTTCGTCATTCTATTTTCTACAGGTTGACAGAAGAAAAACACCCAGATGCGAAGGTAAGCAGGTGGAGCCACCGTACTGAAAAATCTTGCCGCCGGTAAGTTTTTGTTTTTCAACTTTTTTCGGCCAACCGAGGTCTCCTAACGTGTCTTCTCGCAATTATGGGTATAAAACCAGTCAAAATCGACCACAACTGGTCGAAAATAGCCAGTCCGAGGTAAATCGCCGATACAAGTGGCAGTGTCATTGTTGGAGCATGGTGGTGCCATCGCCGGAGCACAACGGTGCCATCGTCGGAGCACAACGGTGTCGCCGTGACGAAATTCTAAAATTGGTCAGAAAAAGTTTTTAACTCCGATTTTTAATTTTTTGGGATATTTTTAGTTACGTGAAGTATATTTTAATCTCCGCAGGAAAATTCAGAAAATCCGGGGATCGCCAGTAGGCGCAGTAGAAAGTTCGGTATTTTGGACAATGATTCAAGTAAGAATCTATCACCTTATTTTCTGTTATAGAATTAAAGTCTAATTATCAATAATATGATATTTTGGGTAATTTAAAAAACTTTAAGAATTAATTACATGTTACTAATGGAAGCAGAACTGGTTATTTATTATTATTGTCTTGTTTAACCGATTGTTTGATTTTATAGCTTTAAATGCATG